AACAAACTATGAAATGTAACTACTACAACAAATCATACTTTAGGTGTGCAAACTGTGGCTCCTAATTCCATAACTGCCTGATTGAAATCCCCGGGCCGCTCTGGATCAACCAGCTGGTCTGCTAAACTCCACATATGGTCTACAGTAGCCTGTGAAAAACAAATTGATATTAGTAATTTTAAAGAAATAATACAATCCTAAACAAAATTACTTTCTTTTTAGCATGATATCATCAAACAGGTAAGTATAATAAGATACAAATCATAATGATCACTGATAATCACCATGACACCTATAGTGATAACAATTGATTTCATATTTTAAACAAAATGCACAAATATTACCTGAGCACTTATGTCAGCACCTATTCCCCGCAATCGAGCCATTACACGGTTGACATTTCCATCCACGACACCCACACAACTGCCAAGAGCAATGGAGGCTATGGCACTTCCTGTGTATCTACCAACACCTGGCAGCTGCTCCACAAGGGAATCACGGTCACTTGGAAATTCACCATCTAAGTCGTCCATAACCTGAAATATTTGGTAAAGATAATGCATGGCTATTATGAAATGTAAACTTTTTCACCTGTATGACCAATGTTCCTTTAACCCATTCCTGCCGGGCATGCCATGCCATGCCCACTGTGAGACTACTTGTTAGATTGTTTTCACACATAGATGGCTACACATGTACTAATTCACCAATTAGCCAGTTACGAATACCGCCTGTCTCGCCAGTTCACCCTTTTCTTTGATTTACGAAATATTTTATATTATCTTATTTTACTGTTACTAATGTTAAAAAACATTATAAAAATTATAATGTTTATAATAAAAATAACACCATCGATATTCACAGCACTAGTGAAAAATACGTTTTTCCCGCCATTTCAAATCAGGCGCTAACAGAGCCATCTATGGGCAGACATTTAACAAAAAAGTATAGAAAATAGGCACAGCATTTTCCCCATTTTTTGTTCATTTTCCCCGGCGGCAATGGGTTAAAGTGTGTTTTCATTAACCCATTTGCGCTGGGCGTAACGTATACTTGACAGGCCCACTGTGAGTTTACTTGTTTAATTGTTTTCACACATAGATAGCTACACTTGTATTTGTACTGCCTGTCTCGCCTGTTTACCCTTTTCTTAAATTTACGAAATTATTTTGCGTTCTCTTATTTTGCTATTACTAATGTTCATAACATTATAGTAATTATAATTATACTACAACTTATTTGTAAAACATATATCAATGTTAATAATATCAATTTCAAGACAATAACTTTGGAAAATTGATAACCAAGACCACTTGTGTCAATATCAATAATGACAATGATAATAATAATGATAACAAAAATAAAAGCAAAACAAAACAAACAATTATAAGAAGAAAAAGAATCACAATCATAGTAATTATAATATTAGTAATTATAATAATGATAATTCTTACAATAATTATTATCATTATCATTATTATCATTATTACTATTCCTGTTATTGTCATTGTCATTGTCATTATCATTATCATTATCATTATTATCATCGTTATCATTATCACCATTATCAATGTTATTGTAATCATCATTATTATCATCTATTACAATTATAATATAATTATTAGCATTATTATTATTATTATTATAATTATTATCATTATCATTATTATCATTATCATTATTATCATTATCATTATTATCATTATCATTATTATCATTATCATTATTATCATTATCATTATTATCATTATCATTATTATCATTATCATTATTATCATTATCATTATTATCATTATCATTATTATCATTATCATTATTATCATTATCATTATTATCATTATCATTATTATCATTATCATTATTATCATTATCATTATTATCATTATCATTATTATCATTATCATTATTATCATTATCATTATTATCATTATCATTATTATCATTATCATTATTATCATTATCATTATTATCATTATCATTATTATCATTATCATTATTATCATTATCATTATTATCATTATCATTATTATCATTATCATTATTATCATTATCATTATTATCATTATCATTATTATCATTATCATTATTATCATTATCATTATTATCATTATCATTATTATCATTATCATTATTATCATTATCATTATTATCATTATCATTATTATCATTATCATTATTATCATTATCATTATTATCATTATCATTATTATCATTATCATTATTATCATTATCATTATTATCATTATCATTATTATCATTATCATTATTATCATTATCATTATTATCATTATCATTATTATCATTATCATTATTATCATTATCATTATTATCATTATCATTATTATCATTATCATTATTATCATTATCATTATTATCATTATCATTATTATCATTATCATTATTATCATTATCATTATTATCATTATCATTATTATCATTATCATTATTATCATTATCATTATTATCATTATCATTATTATCATTATCATTATTATCATTATCATTATTATCATTATCATTATTATCATTATCATTATTATCATTATCATTATTATCATTATCATTATTATCATTATCATTATTATCATTATCATTATTATCATTATCATTATTATCATTATCATTATTATCATTATCATTATTATCATTATCATTATTATCATTATCATTATTATCATTATCATTATTATCATTATCATTATTATCATTATCATTATTATCATTATCATTATTATCATTATCATTATTATCATTATCATTATTATCATTATCATTATTATCATTATCATTATTATCATTATCATTATTATCATTATCATTATTATCATTATCATTATTATCATTATCATTATTATCATTATCATTATTATCATTATCATTATTATCATTATCATTATTATCATTATCATTATTATCATTATCATTATTATCATTATCATTATTATCATTATCATTATTATCATTATCATTATTATCATTATCATTATTATCATTATCATTATTATCATTATCATTATTATCATTATCATTATTATCATTATCATTATTATCATTATCATTATTATCATTATCATTATTATCATTATCATTATTATCATTATCATTATTATCATTATCATTATTATCATTATCATTATTATCATTATCATTATTATCATTATCATTATTATCATTATCATTATTATCATTATCATTATTATCATTATCATTATTATCATTATCATTATTATCATTATCATTATTATCATTATCATTATTATCATTATCATTATTATCATTATCATTATTATCATTATCATTATTATCATTATCATTATTATCATTATCATTATTATCATTATCATTATTATCATTATCATTATTATCATTATCATTATTATCATTATCATTATTATCATTATCATTATTATCATTATCATTATTATCATTATCATTATTATCATTATCATTATTATCATTATCATTATTATCATTATCATTATTATCATTATCATTATTATCATTATCATTATTATCATTATCATTATTATCATTATCATTATTATCATTATCATTATTATCATTATCATTATTATCATTATCATTATTATCATTATCATTATTATCATTATCATTATTATCATTATCATTATTATCATTATCATTATTATCATTATCATTATTATCATTATCATTATTATCATTATCATTATTATCATTATCATTATTATCATTATCATTATTATCATTATCATTATTATCATTATCATTATTATCATTATCATTATTATCATTATCATTATTATCATAGATATGAAGTTTCCAAAAAAATTTATACTACAAACCTTAACAGCTCCTTCATGAAGCCTACGTGCTCGTGAATAATATCCAAGGCCAGCCCATACTTGGTTGACCTCCTCCAGTGTTGCCTTGGACAAATCAGCCACAGTGGGCCACTTGCTTATCCATTTCTCAAAGTAACTTATCACAGTGGCAACTTGTGTCTGCTGTAACATCATCTCTGATACCCAAACTGCAACATAAAATTATTTAAATGCAACTCTTTTAGTTTAAAGAAAATGTAGAATAACTGCATTCCATTTGGTTTGTGGGAACTGTTCATTGCCAATTATCATTCTTTCTCTGATAATCTTAATGATCTTAAAATATATTTGAATGTAAACATGCAAGATTAATAAAATTCATGGTTAAAGGGGATTTTCTTTAAAGACTTGTTACTGGAAATATATCCTTTTTTATTTCATAAAAACTATATACAAATTCATTACCAGCACATATCAGGTATTGAAAAAAGCTAATATGGACTAACTAAAGCTTTTTTAAACTGAACTGGAGTTATATGTAACATCTATCGCCTTTAGTCCACATTAAAAAGAAAAACATTTCATTATACTGTGTTCTCTATATACAGTTAAAAACTCTCAAGCACATAGGAACTATAGTTGGCCTAGGCCTTCACAATATATACCAATATGATAAAGCTGTGTCCAGTCAACAAACTGTAACAAATTTTCTCTACTCAGTATAAGAAAAATTAAAAACTTCATGAAAAGAACATCAAAGCCAAATGAACATTCCATAAAAAGAGGAATAATAAAAACACAAACAGAAACTTTCTACCAAAATACAAGGTGCTTAAAAACACAAACCAGCATAAGCCCTCTTGTTGCGATCATCCTCTGTGGCTGCAATCGAACGCCACGGCAGTATCCTATGATTGGCATCATAATGGGACAGGAGTTTCTCTCTAAGCAGTGAGACTTCAGGTTCGGAGAATTTGTGGAGGAGGCCAATGACAGCAGGAGACACGGACTTGCTGGCTTTCACCATTTCTGTGTGAGAAGGGGAATAGTTGCATTATTTTTTAGAGATTTGGAGATGTTAGAGAATAGTGAATGAGTTTAAAAAAATAATAATATCAAAAATACTTTTAAAATTTAGTAATTATTTTCTGCAAAATGCTTTCCACAGCAAGTTATCTATAAACTGACAGAGCAATCAATATCTACTACTCTTGTTTCAAAGACACCTTCTTGGAATGCCTCTACAGGTGTCTTCTAAACATATACTAATTAATAAATCAGAGAGGGCCAGACTCTGCTGGATTTAACTTTTTCAGCGGCTTTCCCTAAACAGAGTTACTAAATAATAAAATTATTGGCTGCCAGTTTGCAATAAGAAATCTATTAAACCTCTCAATATCATTAACTACTCCAGTATAGTTTGAGTTTCACACAACCATATCATAAATGATAAAAGTTGCCAGTAAAGGACAGAATGATGAAAATCAGACACATCTCATCTATGGTATTTTCATCACAAGTCGATAATAAAAAGTTGTGCAGCACCCAATATCTTGGAAAACATTTACATAATGATTACACTTTGATAGGGAAAACCTCATGACACAGGCATAAAGTACAGGGAAATTTACATTCACTGATGCACGGAATATTCTGTTCAAGCAAAGAATAATGACAGAAATAAAGAAATAGATTACAGAGGTATAGAGTAGAGAGTAAATAGAGTAGATAGTAAATAGAGTAGAGAGTAAATCCATGGCAACCGAGTGAGGGTTCACAAGCAGAACCCCTATTAGGAAAATATATCAACTGGGTAGACGTTTGGAAGGTTGGAAGGTTCTTTTGATCATTACTCTGTAGCTAGAGTAATACAGACTTTGCTTCATAAACAATTAACAATACTTTCACTTGTATCATTTGTGATGAAAAAAAAAATAATAATAAAAAAAAACAGACCGTATTACACCTTTAATAACTGAAACAAGAAATATAAATTTCAACGTTGGAAGGTTATATGAATCTGAAGAAAAATTACCATTATTCCAATCCAAATACACCTCCTACAGGTCTAAATCTCAAAAAAAATAAAAAATAACCTATACCCAATAACCATAGGCTTACGTAATAGCTTCTAACTATCACTGGAAATTCAATAATTAACACCCTACATTCTGAAACTACCCTGCTGCTGCTGCCCTATTCTGTGTAATATACTGGTGGAACGAAAATCCAAACATGAAATAAATAAATAAATGCATAATAATGTGTTTATTGTATACTCATTATACATGTGTTTGGCGTCTGTAATGGGTCGGAATTTTATTTCATGATTTTACGTCATATAACCCGATTGTCACGCAATAGTGTCATAGAAATTTGTCTAATATACAAGTATTACAACAATCAATCCACTAAAGTACACAGTCATTGATTAATTAGCACTCTAAATATACTTAAATAACTCTTACTTGTAAAATTCTCGTGTTTACTGTTGAGAGTTTGGCGCCGACGACTACGTGACTAAAGTATGATAGCGATTTCTTTTATTTCATTTCATAGACCACCCACTGTGAATTGTGGTCATTAAGTCGTTAAGATTGTTTATATATCTATACTAATAGAGTAGTGCAGCTTAGAGTATTAAGTTAAAGGAAAATTTTATCATTATTATTATATTTTAGTCACTTATTCCGCACGCATTATGTAACTCATTTATATTGTTATTGAGACATACAAAGCGCTCTCATCTTCATTGTCTAGGTTAGACATTGTCAACCACTCTCTTTCTCTCTCTCTCTCTCTCTCTCTCTCTCTCTCTCTCTCTCTCTCTCTCTCTCTCTCTCTCTCTCTCTCTCTCTCTCTCTCTCTCTCTCTCCTCTCTCCTCTCTCCTCTCTCTCCTCTCTCCCTCTCTCCTCTCTCCCTCTCTCCCTCTCTCCCTCTCTCCCTCTCTCCCTCTCTCCCTCCCTCCCTCTCTCCCTCCCTCCCTCCCTCCCTCTCTCTCTCTCTCTCTCTCTCTCTCTCTCTCTCTCTCTCTCTCTCTCTCTCTCTCTCTCTCTCTCTCACTCACACACACACACACACACACACACACACACACACACACACACACACACACACACACACACACACACACACACACAAACGGAGGACCAGTACTAAACCAATCATGCCACTAAAAGGAGTGTGCAACTAGGATCTAACTAGCTCCATAGACATTACCTATCTACTCATACTTGAGTAATAATAGCGAAGTTTTACACACACTCCCCGTGGGCACTCGGTGGTAATTGATTTAGCAATTCAAATCTTAAGTCAGATGTACTGAGGTATATTTAAGAAAGATGGAATAATGCAATGCCGCACTGATATCAATAAATAACAATTCTCCCTGACCAGGACTCGAAGTCCTGGTCAGGGAGGGTTGTTATTAATCAATATCAATACAACATTGCATTATTCCATCTTTCATGTATGTGACTTAGAACTGAACCCAAATCGCTTTCATGACGTCCTCTCGAAGTTCGATGTCTTGTCCTCATTAAGGCTGGAATTTATGCTTCTATAGTTTTAAGGTTTGGTGAATATGTACTGATGGTAGTGTATCCAGTTGCAAATAATGGCAACGCATTGCAGACAGAATTAAGTTCAGGCCCAGCTCCCTTGTGTCCGAAGCATAAGTACTTGCCTATTTGGCTCAAAGATATGGAATTCTTGTCCAATTTTTTTTTTCTCTTCAGTATGATGGTACTCTACTGATCTAGCTAATCCTAACATATCCAAAGTATAATTCTTTCTCTTCAGTATGATGGTACTCTACTGAACTAGCTAATCCTAACATATCCAAAGTAATTAACACCTCACTTGACACCCTTTTTGTGGCAAATTGTTCATATTACACACTCATTTTCTTGCATCTTAGTAAGGTGATTGACAAACGTATTACTATCCTCCACCCTAGCTCTTTTACTGTCCAGGCACACATAGTTCAGCTTCTGAAGAAAATGTAACCCTCCTAGCAACTAAATGTTGCAGCCCAGTGCGAAACCTCCGCTATACCTGTACCCCTGGCACGCGACGACCCTAGCGACCATCGGGTCACTTGGAATCATCTGTAGATACCGAACAGAACCTGTATCCCTGTCCGCTACTGCAGTGTTTCAGGCGTTGCAGACGGCTCGAGGACGAGCCATGCGCGTGATCACCACCCTTCTCCTTGACCAGACGCAGGTGCCGCCCGGCTTTCTCTATTCGCACGGGAGTAAACATCTGTCCTCGAGGGGAATCGCTGCATAAAAGGACACGTGCGTAAGAGGGAGGGAGAGAGACACGACAGACAGGCCAAGCCACACAGGGCCCAGCTCCACTAGCTTGTCCTCCACCCGGGGACACGGAGGTCTCTTCGGGGGTGTCTCATATCTATCTTCAACAATAAACCAGCACGTAAAGACCCTTGCCTTGACCTGCCCAAGACCATCTCTTGTATCGCTCACATCTGGTGGCTTGCGGTGGTCTCTCAATTACAGTGTGCGTGTGTATGTGTGTGTGTGCATTTGTGTGTATATATGTATGCATGTATGTATGTATATATATATATGTGTGTGTGTGTGTGTGTGTGTGTGTGTGTGTGTGTGTGTGTGTGTGTGTGTGTGTGTGTGTGTATAGACACATATATGTACATATATGTGTATACAAACATAAATGTCATACAGTGTTTATATATATATATATGTGTGTGTGTGTGTGTGTGTGTGTGTGTGTGTGTGTGTGTGTGTGTAAAAGGGTGATTCGAAATTATACCGACAAAGTTAGAGGGCGAAGTCCTGACATGATAATTAACACATTATTACATGATGTTCTTTTTCCAGAAGTAAAACGTCAATTACTGACGGGAAATAGCTTACACATCTAAGTACAGTAATATGGCTTAGCGACTGAATTATTAGCATAAAGCCCGTGCCGGGGATTCAAACAGGTCCGTAGGCTTAAATCGATCCCGAAGCTTCGTGTTTCATGTAATGTCAGTTGACCCCAAGAAGACGTCTGTAGCTCCACAAAGAAGAAACCACGTGTACCAGAGTAGAGTAGGTAAGGGAAGATAATACTAAATGCGACTGTAGAGAACTTTTAAAATCACCTACGAAGTTCCTTTGTTCTACCATCGAAAAATAAAAGCTACGAAACATCTAAGCACAGTGTTGGATTTGGTTCACATATGCGAATATGACCGTAACTTTCTGCGTTGTTTAATGTACAGGGGTCGTTTCAGTCAAGGGGGCTTCCCCTTCCAAAGTCACATTGTTCCACCAATGAAAAATAACAGTTATTAGCAATCCAAGTGCAGTTTTGATTCACCGATGTCAGATATACGGCTAACCTCTTTCAACGTTACATTACAAGGCATTTGATTTTTTTGCTAACGAACAAATGTATCATATTTTACACACAAGCTGCTTCTTTCTGAGATCGCTTTGCCAGCATGGCTATACTTGTACTGGATTACATAGGAAGACGATCAGCAAGAGACCTTAAGGGCTTCACACGGCTTGTTCCTTAAAATATTATTACAAAGAAACAAATCCCAGCAATTTTAACGGAAATACTTGACGACCTTTCAGTAATTTATGAGATTCTTACAATTATTTACAAGGTCAAGCGATTCATTAAACTGCTGAGGTGTTTTCTCTCTGTAATAAGCCCTTATGTCGCAGTATCATGATCATGATGGGACGCCGAACATTCCCATGTGTGTGAATATCCTTTCTGCAATAAGGGGACAAAAGCTCTACTTAATTACGAGCTCTATGACCTCACACATTTGAAACAAACCTAACCTGTCCAATAGGTATGGAGTTACAAAACTACGTCAAAGAAATAATAACAGGGCATGATAATTACATTAATGCATGCTCTGCCTATAAAAAATGATTTACAGACTGGTTGGACACAACACACATAATATATATATATTTATATAAACATATATATATATATATATATACATATATATATATATATATATATATATA